CAGGATACGGTATTCAGCAAGCGTTCCGCTTACCTATTTTAAATACAAAAGTTTGTTATTCAGTTTGGATATTTATTGCTAAAATCTGGATATCAGGGGGAAAAAATCAAGACGTATTTAAAAAACGGCAAGTACACGACTATGTTATTTCATAAAATATCGATAACAGTTACTAGGTATACACAATTTTCAGGTGACATCATCAAAGTGTTGGTGAGGATGATTAGACAAATTTTAGTTACCGTTTTATAATCTACACGAGATTTCTAACACACATATAAAATTAGACAACAATTAAACAACAGTTCAGTAGTTTCTGAGATTATTTGTCTAATAAAAATCAACGTAGACAGACGACAGGCAAACGGACAGGAAGAGCTATTTTTTCGTAGCCTAAGGATCATGAAACGTTGAGAAAACATAAAAGTAGCCATTTTTCCTACGGACCCTTCGTATACTATTTCATTCGCTTGCTCTCGGGAAGTAAAAAGTCCCTCTCAGCAGATAAATCCAGCGAGTTAAAAAAATTCGTTTTTCTACCGCGCACGTTTTTTGGTTTTCTAATAGAGCTATTAAAGCACTCAAATGACGTCATAGCAGTTCGGTAATGGCGAGAAGGGGTTCTGAAATAGATCTGGTGTAATTTAGATCGGTAAGATTGGTAGCCATGACGAGAAATGTCAGGTGAATGCATGGAGTGAATGTCAGTGGCAAATGTCAAATTAAAATTTCCCGTATTTCTGGAGGCGTAAGGACTTCACTAACTTCTTCACAAGACATTTTAACCAATTTTAACTCGAATTGATTCGAATTACAGTTGTTGTTGTAAAAATTCGAACTTCAAATATTTCGTGGTTCGTGTCAGACCAACCCATCACCAACCACCAGTGGCGGCTCCTCAGAGGAGGCAGGGGAGGCTGAGCCTCCTCTGTTTTTTGGAGCTGAGCTTCCTCTAATTTTTTCGATGAAAGAATTTGTATTTTTATAGACATTTGTTACTATTCAGAATATTTTGTTTGATTTAATTTACTTTCATCATATATCAGGTTAAAATATCGAAAAAAATTATATTTGCGCCCTTAAATCATAATTCACACCACTCCGCGTTTGGCTTCAGCCGTAGAAGCTAGCCCAAGGTAGATAGAGGTTTACGTTGCAGGTTGCCGTTCAGTCCCGATAACAGACGAGAGTAATCGATTCCTCCACTGACGTCACAGATGTCACTCCCTCGTCCCCCCCGCTTGAGGGGCCTATACACCAATTCCCTATACCCTTAGCATACCTTGTAAACCTCTATCTACCTTGAGCTAGCCTCCGCCGAGAATGCATCTTACTATTGAGACCGCAACCTCGACGCATAGTCATTCAGCACTGCATTGGCTAAAATGTTCATCGGGGTGCCGCTTCAGGCCGCTAGCCTCCGGCTAGTGCATCTCTTTTCAGATCAAGTCGCACGGATTATTTTATCTCTTTCTTATTAACTCGCGCGATCGAGTGTAAATTGGAAAAACATTGAGGTGGTTTCGCGTGCTCCCTATTCAGTGGTGAATGGTGTTTAGGCTTTAGTACCTACGTAAAGCCTAAGGTGTTTTTTATATCATTTATTTGCGTTTTATTTCTGATCGTTAAAAACAGCTGGTATTATCGGCATATATTAATATTACTTATACTTAACGAGAATGAGCAACGAAAATAAGTCAGTCTCATGTGCAGTGTAAAGGCATGAAAAATCACAGGAACACATATTTTCTTCTACTACTTTAGATTCCGCTCATAAGAGGGATATTGAGAACTATAACGAGAAAGTTGGTGAAAATAGGGCAATTTTGAAAAGACTAATCGATGCAATAGTTTATCTATAGTGTTCTTTTCGTGAGCATGACAAAAAAATTATTCAGATAATGAAGGATATAGAAAGTATTGGTTTTCAAATTTGAGCCTCCTCTGAAGAAAACTTCACGAGCCGCCACTGCCAACCACGACAAAATTCCCCAGATTTAAAAAAACGCAAATTTCAATGAAATTTTGCGAAAAAACTTGCGCAGTAGAAACAATAGTATAAATCACTCGTTCATAAGGCCATTGTGGCACTAACTGGATTCGTGCCTTAATAGTTGCCTTATGAAACTCGTTCTTTAATATATTATTAAGTAACGACGGAAAAATATCTCTGATACTAGATAGCAAAGTTTTACATACCTACATTTTTTTACTTCCTGAGCGCAACTTTAAGAAGTATTGTACTAGAGTCCATTGGGTGAATGGCTACTTTCATGTTTTCTCGACGTTTCATGACCTCTAAAGTACGAAAAAGTAGGTCTCCTGTCTCCGTCTGTCTCTCTATTTGTCTGTCTTTATGTCTGCTTGTGATTTTTATTAGACAGATAATCTTAGAAACTACCTAACCGATTGTTGTACAAATTTTATATGTATGTATATTATAAATACCATCATGTAAATTGTAAAACGCTAACCAAAATCTGGCTAATCATTCCCACTAACAGTATAATGATATTTCGTCAAATTTATTTCAGTAAACGCTATTACAATTTTATAAAATAATTGTCTAGTTTCTTGTACGTACTTGAGTTTATGAATCCGTTTTGAGTATTTACCTAACCAAAGTTTCATAAAAAATCCAAACTGTATAATCGCGCATTGGAACCACTCGTGAGGTCTTTCTGTTTCTTAAACCGTGACTGGTATTATTTACATTTCCCAGCTCCGAACTCATACGTTTTTTCGAATTTTTATGACCCCTAGAATAGGAAGAAACAGGTTTCTCATTTCCGTCTGTCTATCTTAGATCATATAATAATTTATTATATGATCTAAGCTGTCTATCTGTCTGTCTGTCGTCTGTCCGGATTTTTATTAGACAGATAATTTCCAAAACTACTGGACCGATTGTTGTCAAATTGTGTATGTATATTAGGACTATCATGTAGAGTAGTTGGTAAAACGCTAACCAAAATTTGGCCATCACCACCAACAATTTGTTGACGTCATGTCCAAAATTTACAATGGTAAATTTGTTTTTCTTATAATAAAGTAATATCTTTCTGCATTTGTGGTGTATGAAAAATTCATGACGTCATCTCAAAATTTTGCCGAAAATCCTATCGAAAATCTGCAAAACATGACGAGTCTATACTTGTGATTTATTATTCCATTAATATTTTTTAGAATTGCTTATACAGGGTGACTCAAAAAAATGAATGAATGGGTCAAGTTATTTTATTGACTAAACCAGAAACTGCAAAACTGGAATGGTTTGAAACCTTGTAGACGTTTTAAAGTTATCGTAAGCATGGTAAATTTGTGATCACAATTTAATCCCCTCCAAAAAATAATTGATTTATATTTTTTAGCATTACTGATCCCGATCAAAAAATTAATGAAGGAGTCAATTTATTTTATTGAATAAACTAGGAACGGGTCAATCTATGTTCCCAAAAATTTGGGAATGCAATACTGTTATTATTAGTATTAAACTGGACCTATCCAAATCGATATACATGTCTTTGCAAAAATGTGAATGACGCCATCACAAAAGTTCAGTAAGCAAAAACTCATTTGAAACATGCCCGTAGCACGCTTCTTTACATTTATTTTAACATTATATACTACAAATACATACATCTTTATTTTAACTTCTAGGGGTTCTCATAAAAAACAAAATTCGCAAAATCAAATTTTATAATTTTTGGAAAAAGCTGGATATCTTTTATTGCGCACCTCGGACGCAAATGGCGCTCGAAATGTCGTTATGAAGCTGCGTATAAGTGCTTCAAGTATTGCTGCAAAAGGAAGACCATTACAGAAGTATCTGAAGCAACAATGTTGACGTATTTCATGTAAAAAGCTAACAAACTAAAAACTCTCAAAAAATCGCCAAGAACAATCACCGAAGTTTGTTAGTTGTAAATTTAAAAACTGTACTATAAATATAAATAAATAAATGTGTTCAGATTTGTTTCAACCTGAAATATTTTTTTCCTTAGTTTCCTCAGAGATGTAAGTTGTTAACTTACTTCCCGTTGCTAACGGCAATTAACACTTGTTTACTAACATGAACTTGCTTCGATCAAATTGATATCATAATACTCTATTTACATTGTAGGAAATGGAAAAATAACTATTTACGCATTTAAAATTGTGTGTACAAAAAATAGAAACTCTGAATTAGCCTAAAAATTTGCCAAAAATTATTTTCAGCCATGTTTAACCAAAACCTTAGACAAAATATTTAAATTTGTTTATTTAAAAATGTATTTTAACGAAATACAAATAGGAATAAAACTTAAAATTGTATGTGGTGATGATAATGCGATTTTTTTTTGAGGCAAAAACTGAAATATATCATCATGTTTCTATCTCAAATTATGTAAGTATTCTACATGTATGTTTTTTTAAAAATACTACATGTATAACATTCTTGATGTTGACATAATTTATAACCCGAACATAATTTCAAATACAATCCATACTTTCTGTTATTATTTTTATTTCCCTTTTTCTGTTTTAAGTTTAAACAGTGACCTTCTTTTTCTACACGACTCTAGACAAATGCTTATTACACTCACTGCTATGTTATGTTACCTTTTTCTTTTCGTCATCACTATCTTGTTGTCGTCATTGTGTATAAGGTATAATCATATTTTGCTTAATAAAATCTTGAATAATAGGAACAAATTTAATATAGTTTTTGCCATTCAAATTTTAAGGATGAAGACAAGAAAAATAATTCTCGATCTTTTAATTTAAAACTTCAATGTTTGTTTTTAAATTTTCGCGGGACAATTCTAAAACACTATCAAATACATTGATTACGATAATGAGTGTTAGCGCCATCTATTAAATTGGTATAAGAAAAAACATCCGCTTAAGTTTTGACAAAAATGATTTTACAAATTTTCACTTCCAAATTCAGCAAAAAAAAATCGCAGCTGTGATACATAATCGTGTCGAACGACATTTGCAATAAAAAAACAACACAGTTCGTTCTTTTTGAAATTTATTGACGGAACTATTAAATACATCAATACAATCATTACGAATACCCAAGGTATGACATCACAGTGACCAGCCTATATCATAATAAACCATTCTATGGAAGTAAAAAGTAAACAATGTAAAAAAAATTACGCAAACTTCTTAATCTTTCGCTTTCTTTTTGACGAACGATTTGTTTGTCATCCATTGAACTCCAACCCACCGACAATATTCCTCACAGTCTGTAAAAGATTCGCATCATGACTACTATTCTCCAGCAATATCGAATGCAAATTTGTCATATAAGTGTCAATATTCTGCTGCGTCGCCACTTCCTTTATCCCGGGTAATTTTACACCTGAGAACCCATTCGTCAACGTGGTCCTCATGTGGTCCAGGTGCTTCTGCAACGACGCGTTGTTCTTCTCTTGCTGAGTTATCTCGGACTCTAGTTTGGTAATCGCGTCTCTCATATTTTCGATATGTTTTTGTAAAATGGCGTTTTGTTGTTCGTAGTCCGTGTTGGATTTCCGCAGCTGCCTTAACTCCGTGTCGCGCAGTTTGTTGTGGTCAAGGAACTCTTCAGTGAAGATGGGGATGTCGAAATTGCCGAATTCTAGCTCGGGGGCCACGACAGGATGATTCTATTTTACAAAAAAAAAAGAAGTTAAATACAGACACTCAGTAGTTTTGGCGAAACGTTTTGAAGCCCCAGTCTGAGTCAACATTTTTTAAGAATTCATAAAAAATTCTCTCAGTAGCAAAATTAATTACTCACACTCTTCCCCTCCTCCTTGCTTTCCTTCAACTTTTTCTCGTTTTGTTGCTGGAATAATTTATAAGCTTCCGTTTGTTTATAAGCGTTGTATTCCCTAGTGTACCGCTCCCTGTCCTGTTCAGCGGCGTCCAAATACTGTTGTTTTTTATCAGCCGGGAGGTTTGTCCACTCGTTGGCCAACATTTTGGTAATTTCAGCAAACGATAAACTAGGATTAGCGCTGCGGACGGCCTCCCTTCGATCGTTCAAATAACGCACATAACCTACAAACACACGTAGAACAAAGTTGAAAAATTTCATGAAGTACCTGTGAGGGGGTGTCTCGGGGCCGTGGTATCCTTCGGTTTCTTCCGCTTTTTCGCTTTAGACACCTTCGATTTCTGCTGGGTGGTGTTATCAGAACTGTCGGGGGCTTTCTCATCGTTGGAGGTGCTCGCTTTAGAGGATTTTTTCGCGTTTTCTGGGGCTTCTTGGTTTTCGTTATTTTCCATTATTTGTGAAAAAATTAACTAAGTGTGGTCGCTATGGTTTCTGGATGTGGATTCTTTTCGGTTAAACGCAGACTTATGTGGTTTTGGCAGTTTTGCGGGTAAAGTTAACCAATGTGACACTTGTTTACACGGTATCGGCGGCTGTCAAAATTTTCAATTTTTTGAATTTGTTTAAAGAAAAAAAGGAAATTTTTAGGAGAGCTGCAAGCGACCCGCCAATTCCTAAAAGAAAATTTGGAAAAAATTGTTGGAATTAAACTGTTTGAACTCCACATTCAACGAAAACGTTATATAGATTACAGGTTTCTGTAAAATTGTGTCAAATGGTTTTAAATAAATTGTTGTTCATCGCCACGTTTCACAGCGATTGATCAGGATGTGCTTTTTTTTGTTGAGTTGACAATACCAAGGATAAAGATATTTAGGGAAAACCTGAGAGCAGTTTGTATTAAGAAAACCAAAGTGATGATAAATCAGTATGTTAGATTTACTGAAGTGGTTAATGTACAATTTTCGTTTAATAAAAAATGACTAAATTTGATACATCAGATCCTGGGTTTTCGTCAATTATCAGGCTTGGAATAGCTCGGGATGACAACATTGTAGAAAAACAGAGAGTCATATCCTACTTGGGTCCCAAAAAGTCGATTTCCACCCAAATACATTATGTATATCAATTGAAATAAAGTTTACATAAATATTTCTTAGTTGACAATAACATTTGACAAATGTAGATGGTCAAAATAGTAAAGTCCGCAGCTAAAGATTAATTAGAAACACAGCAGAATTTAGGTATCTACATTACGCAATATCTGAGTTCATTATTGTGCTGCCGTTATTAGTGATTTGATGAAAATGAAAAGTAGTTAGTATAGAAAAGCCCGGGACTCTATACCACACAAACATGGTAAAACATAAATGTTATTTTTATTGTAGATGTCGCCTTATCAATGCGTTGCCAAGAGAATTGATAGAATTTTGCAATTTAGAAATAAAACTGCTGTTTAAAAGATTAACAGCAAACTGAGTACCTGGCGAGAATGGAGAATGCGCTATTTCTAATCTGAATAAAAAATATTTAAACATTCTTCGATATTCCCAACATCAAAATTTTTGGGGGGTTGTTTAAAATCGTTTGAACCATTTTTCTATTTCTGTTTATAAGTAAAATTTCGAAAATAGGACTCACTACCGAAAAACCAGCAGTAAATTATGTGCTAATGTGCTCGTGAACCAGCTTTATCAGAAAAAAAGGGACTTGACATAGGCGTGACACAAAATATATATAAGCAAAATTATGGTTATCAAATTTTTGAAAGCTTATAACTGCACATATTTTTTAAATTATACGAAAAAAGTTTAAACAAAACCTGTTATAAAATATGCTTAGAAAATACCAATGTTAGGGAAAAGGAGTTGCATTAAAATGTATTTGGCAAACGAAAGCATTGTGTGCGATCTTTGAAATGTTTAGGTTGTTTATTCAAAATTATTGCCGTTCAGGGACATGAGGTAGTTTGAATAGTGAATATAAGGACCACCAAATTTATTTGGACACTCGTCTTCGACCGCACAATTTTTTGTCATTTTTAAAAGCAAGATTTCATTTTGCACTTTAATTACTTGTGCCAAACTGATAAACAGTGATAGATTTAATTTTTTCTTGTACCAACTTTGCTTGTTATACACGAATGATTTTAAAAATGCTGTGATTTTGAGTTCTAATGCGATATTGGACATTGCGACCTATTCCAAGCCTGATAAGCCCCGATCAACCAAATATTATTCCCCACTATTATTCGTTCTGATAAAAAAAATAGAAATAGGAAAGTTAGAATACTTAGTATTAATAAGGTTAAGAATGTGCAGTTATAGAATAGAAAATTCGGTCTCAATGAAGTTAAATCGAACTAACAATTTTTGTTAAAACGGAAATCAGTATTAAAGATTTAAAAATTTGCGTATTTAATCAAAAAGCATATTTTCATAAACAAAACATTTGTAGGAACTTTAAACTAGTTGAATGCACAAAATAAATTCTTTTTCTGAGCGTATTTTCAATATCTATTTTTTGATAACGAAATTTGAGGCAGATGTTATGCTGAGATTTGATAGACTATAAAGTTCCGTCTTTTTTTACAAGGTGGAGGTAATTTAGGCTACAATGCACATACGCTAATGAATTATAAACCGATAATTTGAGACTATCGTATTATTTTTAAAGTTTTAAAATAGATAACTAGGTTTATAGTGTTTAATTATTAATTTAATTATAATTAATTATAACTGACCTAAAGTTTGCGTAAAAGTTTATTGAATGCAAAGAAAATTATAAATGGAAAGGTGTTTCCATATGTTTTATATGCAACCAATTAAAACACGGCATGGAGTGAGAGTGATGATATCTCATGAGCAAATGTTGAAAATATTTTTTAAGTATACCTGTCTGTGTGCCCTTTCTGAATTGTGGTATTATCTTTTAGAGTGTCTTTACCTGTTAGGCTTTGCATACGATGATCTAATTCCAATGAATTTTTTTAATTTAAAAGTTTAAAAATTAAATCAATCTGATAGTTTTCTGTTATAGTTGAGCAGAGGTGCCTGTTAGATGGCGCGAGGGCTGACGTCTCGAGTGATAGCCAGTGCTACCAGCCGCTAATGCCGCCCCGAAATCCCCTAAATTTTGTTGGAAACCAAACGATAGATTATAAAAAGTTGTTATTAAGGCATTGTCGTGTGTGTGCTTCGAAATAAAATTACAGGTGTTAGTAAGTACTCAACAAGCTGATTTTTCTCGCGCCGTCGCCCCTTAGTGCCCCACAAACGCTCGCCCTTTACCGCCTTCAAAATTCCACTTTTTCCAGAAATCTTACTCAAGACACATCTCCTTTGTGTAAGTTTTTGGTTTTTCTGTGATGACTTAAAATAATGGTGCTCATGGATTACTCCTCGATCTCCGGATTCGCAGTAGGTGAGTGCGTTTCACGTATTTCTAAAAATCCAACTTTGATGCCTCTAGGTTAGGTTATCTCCCTGGCAGCTGCACTGAAGGATATTTATTTTAAATAAATTTATTAACGTGGAAGTGACTGACATGTGTATTGATCAGCGTATATTTAAAAGCGTGTGTTATTGCCTGCCGCTATTTTGGGGGTTTAAAAATAAGTCGATTGCGCTAATGAACATGTCTTAAAATCCATTCATATCAGCAGATTTATGTAGGCAACCTTGACGAATTATTTATGGTCGCAATTCGCCCAAATTTATCACCCAGATGCGAGCGGCACGCACAGAAGCGATCACTTGGAGTCTTCGATGCCGAACATCCACTTAGCATTCGCTCAACAAGCATCACATGTACACACAAATTGAGAAAAATCGGACACAGTTTAGTCCTTTATGTAACAAGTTTCGGCGTGAGCGCTCCACCACGCTGCCGTGCTCCAATCAATATTGAATTTTTATCTACACCACAGCATGAATTCATTCCTGAAAGAATTGTTGCCCAGAAAACGCGAAAATTGGCGGTTTCGTGGTTTCATTGTGCCATAACCGTTTTGTACACATAATAGTTACATAAAGATATTTTAGGAACATTACTCATAACGCTGCGTTTTCTTTACGAGAGCGGTAGCAGCAGTTTGGGTTTACAGAGGGTTGAATTAATATTAGTTGGGGTTGAAGTGTACTTTACGGGATTAGTAGGTGGGAAGCGAGTTTAACCGAGGTAGTTTACAAACGCCTACAGATGTTCGAGCGATAATTGTTGAGATTTACTGGGATTTAAGGGTGATAAATTTGTGCTGTTTTTTGTTAACTGAAATCATGCATTTTAAAATTTAGTTCTTCAGAGGATGAAGCAAATTTTCCAACGACTGCATTGAAAAATGTTGAATCGCACTCTTACTTTGAATATTTTACTTAAATATATATTTTTTAACTGTCCTTGGTAGCGCCTAACAATATTTGAAGAAGAAATGTCATTCGTGTATAAATTGAATAACAGTGGATTCGCCAGTCTACCTTGAGTGTGTATGGTTACACTTATTCGTAAAATACTATAATTTATTCTTATTTAATTACTTATTATTATTTTTACTGATATGAATGTCTAATTTTGTTTTCTTGACGTTTACCCATCTGTAGAATACTGAAATATATGTCTGCCTGTCTTTTGGTGATTTTATTGGATAGATAATTTTCAAAAGTACGTAACTAATTGATGTACTTCGAGATTATGGTGTGTTAAAACGCTAACCAAAATTTAACTATGTATTCTCTTCAGAAACATGATGACATCATGTAATATTTCTATCAAAGAGAACTCTGAAATTTATCCTACACATAAAGTTATCGTTAAAAAATCAAAATTTGTTGTTGAATGTACGTAATAACGATTTTCGTTGACATATTTATAAGACACTAACATTTTTTTAGTAATTATAGAACATAGACTGAAATTCATTGATTCAACTTCTCTAGAAAGCTGATGACAGTATCTCAAAAAATAAAAGCTTCATTGAAAAAACTTCCTCATGTGTGCAGTATTAATTGTGTTAGAGAAGTAAGGAAAGAATTGGTTTTGGTGACAATTTAATTATTTACGTTTTTAATGTGTATTTAAAGAAAATACAACGCTGTGTGTGTTTGAATTTCGCGGTTTTGGCTGCCACATGATGTCATATCTTAAATCCTTCTACGACGAGTGTGGCAACTTCTTACCAATGGAATTGGCCTTCACTCCATTTTGAATATTTTCCAGCTGGAAATACCATTTTTTTTAATAAAATCCACATTTTTAGTGATTTCCTTTTTTTAGAAATTCCACTTTTCTAGTGAATTCCCATTGCAATGTTCGTAGAATTTTATTAATATGTACTAAATTTTATTTCAAATTTTTATCATTCTTTACATGCAACAAATTAAAATAGTTAAAACGTTGAAATGGTCACCACGTAAATACCTATTTAATAAATTATTTATTTCATTGGACCCGCTTGGTACGTGTAAAATCGAAAATAATGATGAATAATTCCGCCAGAACTGAAAATGGCCATAAGTAACACTTACTGGACGCGCCAGTCATATTTTTAATAAAATAAAAGCATTTTGTGTTTGCTTTAAATGAAATTAATATACCTAATAAAGTAGCTTGACCATATTTTACACAGTAAACATAATATAAAAAAAGCCTAAAGTATGAAAAAAAGCGTGCAAGAATTTTACACAAATTTATCATTTAATCTCTGCGAATTTCAGTCGTAAGTGGTGATTTATGTCTTCAATAAAACGTTTTTGAGTTAACCCTCGAACCTTGAACATCCCCAAAACTTTACAATCTTGTCGATATTCAATTTTCTTGACGTTCTTAACGGAAAAGCGTTACATTTTATTAGGGGTGATGGTGTAATAATAAACTTTGTTGAATTTCTTCAACTGGGGGCGGAAAATTTACGACCGTAATAAAGGATTTTTGCTTTTATCGAATAAAATCGAGAACAGAAGAGGAGTGATACTTAATGGGTTTTGAGACGGAGTGAACAGCAATCACCTCAATGACCTAGAATTGTTGAAGATTAGGGTTATATTTTATTAAACCGACTGCGCAAAATTGTTGATGAAAAACTATAATTTGTTAATTATTGATATTTAGATCACCGGTTTTTAATACGGGTTAAAATTAAGTATCATTTTTTAATCAATAGCCTGCTTAAATATTTTATGTTGTATAGTACGTTGATTTACAATTCAACAAATACCTGTGTTTTTATTAACGATTTTGCTAAGCTATCGTATGTTTCATTGTTTCTAGTTCAGTTCACGTTTGTTGACATCGTTGGAAACTCGTGTGACAGTTTGTAAGAGAGATTTAGTGACGGTGTTACCGATTCGTTAGTAGTACCTTGAATTTCCGAAATATGTTATTTTTATGTTTAAAATTTGCTTTTGAATGATATAATAATGTAAACAAATATTTGAAAACACGCGACTATGAGGAAGAAGAATTTTCGAAGAGTAGCTGCGTTAACGTAACCCCGCTAGATTCGTTTAACGACGCACTTTATAAAGGAGAAAGTAGAGGCAGATACTTAAATCTCCTAAATTTAAACGAAAGCTCACTTTACTAAGTAAATACGGTTGAATCCATTATTGGAAAAACTTTGTCTTGTCCGCACCTCTTACTCCCAATCAGAACGGTTTCCCAGAGTAGCAATTAGTGTCGTTTACAAAGTATCCTGTAGCTTCGACATTTCTAACTTTAGTCGTCAAGTTAAATGTGGGATTTAAAGAAAATTAATTATGATTTATATGATTGAAAGATTTTAATTAGGAATATCTTTGATGGTCCTTTTGAGACTGAAGGAATCTGCGTAATCTTCTTAAGTGGAATATTACGAATATTACAATTTGAGGCCGTCCCATTTAACCTTAAACTGAAAATAGCAAAATCATTCTCTCTATGATTTCTAAAATTTGCTGTAGACGTTTGAAGTCTGAACGTTATAAGAAATTTTTGTTGAAGCAACTGCTTTTAGTGCATCTAATTTCCGAATAATTTTTAAAAATACGTGACGAAAAATTTTACCTTTCCGTATGTTATTCAGATAAAGTTGTTCATAGGTTATATTTAAAAGTATATAACAATAAGCCTGTATGGAGATATTTTATTCTAAACATGATTTGAATACCCCACACGAGCAAAAGTTAGAGACTGGCCTTAAGATTATCTAGGACATAGCATAGTGCACCAACGAAAATGTGGTTTTTGATGCGTCTGAGCATCTTATCCTGTCTAGGCGAGGCGTGCCAGCGAAATACAACGTTGTTGTATTTTTCGAATCATCAAGTTTCAATTTTTAAATCATCAATACACGGAGGTCACTTTTAACATTCTTGCCACCAGGACATATGGCCGGCGACTTTTTTATTTCATATTTCTTATTTCATTTTTTTTATAAATTATTGTTCAGATACTGTCCCACATTAACATATGATGAGGAGGACCACCGTTTTGTCGAAACCAATCCGAAGATCAAAGAGGTGGGGTAATGAGGGAAAAGCGTTGAAGCACCTTTAAGTGACCAAAGTTTTCATTGAAATGAGACAAATAACCAATAAAGGCGTCCTAGATGGATTAGTCCTAGCAATCATTCTATAAACTCTTTGTAGATATGTAGGTCAAAAATAAATATCTTTCAAGTTTTTTGAATTTATAAATTTGTCTACTTGAGCTTATTTATGATATTGTAATTTACATAAATGTCGTTTAAATTCGAATTTTCCTAGAAAAGTACACATTGAATTTAAAGCAGTTGGGTCTTGGCACATTCTAGCTGTGTAAATTACCACTTACCGGAGAATAAAATCTGCGTAGATCTCAACAGCAAGCGTTTTTTAAATTCACGTCGCGATCTATATATTATGGATTTTAAATAACGTTTCCAGTTTTATTCGGTTGCAGTGAAAATTTGTACTCCACCTTTACAAGAAACAAACGCCAACGCTGATCAAATATCAAATTACACAAATTATACATTCATCAAAGTGATCTCACTAAAATACAACATCCAATGTTAATTTCCACAACTCCCCTTTTTAATATTCAGTGCTACCCCCACGTACATACACATCACCCTCCACCGCTTCCAACCTTCTGCCGTCCTCCAAAACTTCCCATAAATCCTCCCTTCCCAGCCCTCTTTTCCAAGAATCCCCTCGGCCGCATAATCTCCAAAGACAATTATCCTCCATACCCGCCAGTGCCTTTCACGAATCCTCTTTCGTGCCGCTCGAGCACTTCCACGAATCCCGAAATTTCGCCATCCTCCTCCGACGTGACCGCTACGCTTTCGCGGAACCCATCTCCTCCCTCCCGCCCTCCTTTCCTCCAGCCGACTGCTTCGCGTGGCTCTCCCGACTTCACAGAGTTGCCAGATCTGCCGATTTTTCCGTAGATTACTGATTTTGGGA